GAAAGAGGTTTTTTCCCCCCTTTTCTGCCAGACTTCCCCTCTTTGCACTGCCCTTCCCTTTCCCACCTCTCTGCACCTGCTGCCTTCATCCCTCAGACGCTCAAGGTCATTTTTTCCCCCCATACACCGCCAGGACTTTCAGATTTTGAGCCCTGCATTACATTTATACCTCTGTCCCTTTGCATTTATTAAATCCCTGCTGGTCCCTGAGACGGGGTAGGTGAGGCAGCACCTCCAGCCAGTGCTGGCTGGTTTATTCCACCCTCCACATGCTCCATCACACAGTGCAGCAGAGGATGTGGGACAGCATCCCTGGCTGTCCTGAGGCATCGTGTGCTTGCGGTGCCTTTCGGCGAGCTGACACACCTCTTACTGACAGCATTCCTCCCCCTCAGTGACTCGATTTCTGGAAAAATCGCTGAGCTAAGCACCCCCGCGGGCTCCTTTCACAGCAGCTGCGAGCAACAGCTTATTTACCGGTCTGGGTGCTATTAATAGGGAGCGGGGATTTTGCATGGCACGACTTGAGAGGGGAAAAATAATCCTCTCAGAGCACCTAGTGAGCCATCCTGATCACCACCCTCTCCCCGGGGTGAAAGTGCCTTATAAATAGTAATGCTGCTTCTTCCAGCTGACCTCCCTCAGAGCAGCTGGGTGCTCGTGCCCCTGAAATCCAGGCCACTTATTTAGGAGTTGAAGCTTTCCGCTCCAGTTATTCAGGAGTTTTTAAGCCAAGAGTTACTAGGTGGAGCTAATTTGAAGTGACTGTGATTTTAATTCAGGCAGGGTTTCGCTTTCGGGCTCCTTTTGATATTGTGGGGGTGGTGATTTGTGAAGGCAGAGAGAGGAGAGTGAGCTGCTGGAGGAAGGGGGATGATGCCCAAATTCCTGGTCCTGTAACATCATGTGAATATTTGTCCTACTTCTGACTCATGTTTTAGCTGGGAACCGAGCTTCTGTTGTCCTCCATGTGAAAAGGATTTGGGGATTTTGGAAAAAATAAAAAACCCTCCTGGCCTTTCCCAAGGATGGATTTTGTGCACAGTGATCCAGGGAGCACTGTTGTTCCTGATCCCCATCTCACATTTGCCAGCTGGAGCACTCACTGCTCTCTCCTATCTTCCTTCCCACATCCCAAATCTGGTTCTTTTCCAGCTCCCTCATAGTAGCTATTTTAAAATTCTTTTTAATTTTTTTCTTTTTCATTGTTGCATGTGAATATTTTTTCCCTGCGTAGGAGAGGGAAGGATTGTGCACTTTTACTCCATCTATCTTGGCTCCATGTAAGGAATTGGCCAAAAATATCTTCTTTCTAGAGGTGTTAACAAATACAAGCCTTTGCATCCAGAGGAGGAAAATGGCCTATATAATAAAAGAGGGGGGGTTATGCTTTAAGTATCTGAGATGCTCCTTATCGGGCTTTAAATTTTCAATCAAAATTTTGCTTTATTAAACCCCATCAAAGCAGATGCTCCCACCTCTGCAGCTCTTCCCACCTGTCACATATTCCCACTTCTCCCTGCTGTGGCACGTTCCCACCCAGCATCCTGCCAAAAGGACGCCTCTGTGCCAGGTGGGATAATCCCCATAGCTAAGGCAGTGCTGGGGTGCAAAACCAGGATTTTGAGCATCTTTAGGACTTCGGTGTCACCACAGGAACTTTCTGGGTTTGCTCCTGGATGATGTCCCAACTCACCTGTGCTGCAAACACAGGTTGTGTCTGGGTGTGAGTATTGCTGGGGTGCTGCTTGCAGCCTAATTGAAGGTGGAAATGCGACTTGCAGGAACCTGGTGAGTGGATTAAGGACTTTAATAAACTAATAGAAGAACCGAAATTTTAAATAATAATAATAATAATAATGAAATTTATCATAGGTGAATATACATGACAGATAGACAAATAATAGGATGGGAATATTAAGATATTAATACATTATTAATAAAATAACAAGTAATAAATATGAAACCAGCGATATTAATAAATTAAAAATAATGAGAAAATAAGTAATAAATTAATACTAAGCACCCGCTCGAGAGCAAAGGTTCCCCCGCGGAGCATCCCCAGCGCTCTGGCCGCTTGAGCCCCTTGCGGGGAGGGACGGAGGGATGCGGGGGTGTGGACCAGGCGCCTCCCGGGCGCGGATCCGGGCGCGGAGCGGGGCGGAGCAGCCGCGGTGGCCGCGGGCGGAGGCGGAGCCGCCGCATCCCGGGCATCCCCTCCGGGGGAGGCGGCCCAGGCACCGCATGTGCGACGTGAGGGACGTGCAGGAGCGCAGACACCGGCATCCCCCGGCCCCCTGGCATCCCCTGAGGCCCCCCGGCATCCCCCGAGGCCCCTCCGAGCCCCCCCGGGTCCCCCTGGCTCGAACGCGCTGAGCGCGGAGTGGGGGCGCGCCAGCCCCACATCCCACTGCTGTGTACTTGGAGTTCATTTATTATTTTATTTAAACATTATTTTAATTTTTATTTCTAAATTTATTTTTATTTTGTTTCTCTAGTTTTGATTTTTTTAAGTTAATTTTATTTTTCTTTTATTAAAATTTAATTTTTTAGTTTATTTTCCCCCTTTTAAAATATTTTATTCCATTTTTATTTTCTATATTTTTATATTATTTTTTCTTACTCCATTGTTATTTTCTGTATTTTATTTTATTTTATTTTATTTTCCTCATATTTTTTCCCTCCTATTTCTTTTTCATCCGCTCAATTAATCTTTACTTCATTTTATCTTCCCCTTTTTATTTCCTCGCTTTACTTGCTCTTAATTTTTCTAAATCAATTTTTTTAAATTTCATTTTAATCTCCCCCTTTTACTTTTCCTTTTTCGCTATTTTTATGATTAAACGATCATTACTTTTTTATTATTATTATATTTATTGCTTTCACCCCATTAATTTCTAACACGCGAGAAGCGAGACGGGGAAGTTTTTTAACCGTACAGTTTTTTTACCTCGGGGGTGCCTCCATACACCCTGTAACACCCCAATAACCCCCCGCGGTCTCAGCCGTGGGGTTTGGGGGGGTCGGTGGTCGCGTCCCCGCGTGGAACAAAGCGGGTCCTTTGTCCGCGCTGCAGTTCCGGGGGCGGCCGGCGGGGGGCAGCACTGCCCGGGCCGCGCCGCTCCGCATCCCTCCCCCCCCATCCATCCTCCCCCTCCTCCCCATCCTCCTCCTCCTTCTCCCCCTTCTCCTCCTCCTCCTTCCCCGCCTCCTCCGCGGCTCAGCAGCGCCCGCCCGGCCCCTCCCTGCCCTCCCCGCCCCGCGGGGCGGGCGCCGCCGGGCCCGGCCTGCCGGTATAGAAATAGGCGGCACCGCGGCTGCCGGCACATCGCGAGCGGAGCCGGGCAGGGCAGCAAGGCACAGCACGGCAGCGGAGACCGCAGCAGCGCTACGAGCAGACTTTCCCCACTCCTTTTCTCCGGCTGCCTCGCGTGGAGGTTTTTCCTGCCTTTTTTTATTTTTTTCTAGTTGTAAAGGGAAGCTTTTTGAATTTTTTTTTTTTTTTTAATATATTTTTCTTTCCATCGCAGTCCGCGGCAGGGCTCGCCCTCGCTCCCTCCCGGCGCGCAGCGGCAGCGCTGGTGCCGTTCCTGCCCGGCTTTGTGCCCTGAAGCCCCGTCCCTCCTCTTCCTTCTCCTCCTCCCCCCTCCTGCCGTAAAAGCTTCACGAGGCTCTGAGCAGCAGCATCCGAAAGCGCCGCAGCCTCTCGCTGAAACCACCGACTGCAGCAAAAACCCTTTTTATTTTTTATTACATATCTCCTCCGTCTCCTTCCTCTTTTTTTTTTTTCTTTTTTTTTTTTTTTTCCTCTTCCTCTTCCCCCGCAAACGCTTCAAGGTGGACGCGGAGCGCAAAAAGACCTTTGTTTTAAAAATGCCCATGGAGCTGACGCAAAGCCGCATCCAGAAGATCTGGCTTCCTAATGACAACCGCCCGGCGCTGCCCCGCCGATGTGAGTACGGGCACGGCAGCATCCCC